ACACTATTAGGTTATTTAAGGGGCAGGACCTCCTGGTTTAACCTCCGTCTCCGATAGGACCGACCCCTTTGGTGATAAAACATGTAATATACATGGCCATTGTACATGTATCATGTACATGCAATTTTGATTTTTTACCTTGTTTACTTTCAAGCCCCTTTCAGTACAACCTTGGAATGCGGCAGTAAAGGGGTGAAAATGGACATCTATGCCTAATGGGAGAAAAGGGGAGGAGGTGGGATGGGGTTCTTGAAACGAACTCAAAATAACCTAGTTACTGGGAAGGATTCAGACTCAAGTCCTTTAGCACTTCCCAGCTGCAACATAATGAGGAAAGGGGGGGGGGGGGCACAGAACACTGCTGTTCCTTTTTAGAACAATGAGGTCAAAAGAATTCACATGTCAAATCTGTAAAGTATGACTCAACTGACAATCGTTGTAAAAAATTCTAAATCCACATTGACAGGTTTAGAAATTTTAGGAGGTGGGCTCCTCTGATCCAAAGGCTAACTGATACACCACAAACAAATCAACTTGTACTTACAATAGGAGATAGGGTATGGTACAACACACTCTGACACCTGAAAGAACGAAAGTTACCCAAGTGGAATCATTATAATAGGACACATATAACTTAAGGCCATTCTATGAAAAATGAATCTGCTGCAACACATATTATTATGCAGAGATGATGATCTGCTGGAAAAAAAAAAATTGGAGCAGTGAAGGAAGCCATTCTTTATTCTTAATTTTTGTTAGAGGCAATATCTTCCTCTGACCAAAAATCATTCTAAATCTTCCACCTAATCAGTGTTAAGATTTTTTTTTTTCGCAAGTCACCATCCGCAAGTTATATTTTTCACTGCAGCTTCATTGTTCATAGAATGGGCCCTTACTTCAGCATCTTTACTTGAAGGAAGTTTCAAAACAGCAAAATTTCTTCACAATTCACATATAATACATGTACACAAAAACGAACTCGGTTCATGTGGTTCTGTTCATACTTTATAGGAGAAAATCTGTGACATATTTTAAACAGCACATATATCTAAATGTGCTTACAACATGAACAGACATTAGTAATCCAAGAAAAATGATGACTTTGTCATGTAAGGAACTCAGTTCTGAGTTCAAAATAAAAAAAGAAATTAGTATTCCCATATATACTACCTGCTAATAAGATAAGAGAAAAGAACGGAACTTTTCATTAGAAAATAACACATACATGAAGACATGTGCACCCATAACCCCGAAATCAAATCTAAAAATTGACCAGAGCCAGATCAATACGTAAAAAAAATCTACAACTCAGGTCCCTTTGACATTTTTTTGTTTTCCCCAAGGGTGACACAGGTCAAGCAGAAAAAGGTCTCCAAGCCTGAGATAGCAAAAAAAACACCCAAGAAAACAAAACAAACCTCAGCACACTATAAGCAAAGACAGAAAAATAAAACGATGATTTAAACAAAAAAACCCAACCCATCTCACCCATCTACAAGCAAAACTAAATTTTCTGATGAGAACCGTAGATCAGGTGAAAAGGCTCTTCAAGGTTCTTATCAAAGAATCTTAACCAAAATTTTAATTGAACATATCAGAAATTATAAAAAAGCACAAAAACAAAACAAACAGATAAAAAGCGATTGGAAATTTAACAAGAGCACACAGATAAGCCCACTCACGGTACACCTTTGACAGAGATGCATAAGCTTCAAATGGCAGCTAATGCAATATAAATTTCTTTAAAAAATAGGCCCTCAAATTTCTAGAAAAAAACCCCGAAACAATCTCCAATAGAAGAATTGGTGTTCAGATTCTCAGAACCCCCCCCCCCCCCCCCCTCCCCAAAAAATTTGTTTTAAAAATCTTCATTCTCAAATTTCCATCCGAGAACAATGTTGGCAACACTAGTAGTGTGAGCAGGAACCCGATGTAACAGACTGTACGGCAGTCAACACAGAGTAGCAATGTCTAAGACTCCAAAGGAAACTAAGTATATTTTTTAAGTCTTATGATACAAAATCGTCCCCTATAATCGTAACATTCAGCAAGGATTTAAAAACCAAAGCACTACAATACTACTTGCACTAAGCCAAGAGATTGTGGGGAAAATGACAAAATTTTAATTACAATTTTTTGGTTTCATTTTTTAAACAAATCCAAACCAACCCAAGTTTGCTCATTTGAATTTGAATTGAGTAAAAAGTAGCACATAAACACAAAAACAGTCATTCAGTACTGAGAAAAGAGAAAGACAGACAAAAATTACAAACAGAAAGCAAAATGGAGGGAGGACCTTATGGTGGCGCCCTCCGACCACCCATCAAGTCCCTTAGACATGGCTACTGAGCACGAGACGCCGACAAAACGTCAGAAGAACAGTTCCCACCTTCTACACCATTGCCATTGCTGGAGTTCTGTCCACTCTCCCCTACACAAAGCAGAGAAATAGTCAGGCACAGTTACAGACAGTACAAGAGTTTTATTCTTAAAGACAGTAGGCCTATATCCAGTTTTGGGCAAAATTGAGCCATCGATTCCACCTTATCGATATCTTCATATATAAGGTTGGGAAAAAGTTTTGAAGATATTCAAAGCAACAGGCTGTTGAGAGGCAAAGATGTGGGTTTTTTAAAAACTTTCCAGAACATTTTACGATACTGAATAATGGCGTCTCGAAATAAAACTCCACAGTGGACAGGCATGACATACAACTGAGGAAAAAAAGAATTTCTAAGCCCATACTTTTTTTGAGATCCCTGACCAGATTGGAAAAAAGATTGATAATGGCATAATTTTTTTTTTGCTGAATCAATGGTTTTTAGGTTTGTCTTTGACATAATTCAAGCAAATTCCTATGTATATAAATATATATAGTTTGTTCAACATTTACCAAACATTGCAACAACCTGCAAAGTGGTTTTCTCGCTTATCCCCATTTGCTTCCTTTTGCAGTCTCTTTATTTTATACATGCTCATTATCCTTTCTCCCTCTTTCTTTCTCATGTACAAACATCACAGACTTCGCATTATTCAGTTCATCACTCTTGGCCACTTTTGCAAAGAATCTGAACTCACTGAAAAACATCCTTTTTTTAAGGAAAAAAGCAAGCACATTCGACTCCTATTCCTTTGCATTAAAATAAACATCATCCATACATTCCATTCAACATTGATGTATTGAAAATATCTTTTTTTAATTGTAAAAGCCTTGTCTTAATAAACTTGGGCAGCACAACACAAAATAAAAAACGAGGTAAGTTCCCTACAGCAACCTCAAAATCATCTTCTTGACCACTCATAAGAGATACCTCTCTGACATTCACTGACAGTCCGTGGCACACACAACCTTCCCCCCACATGGTGGGGAGTTGTAGTCTCCACAGAGGTCTACAATGACCATATGTAGCCAAGAAAAAGAACAAGACTATAATAACAAAAAACACAAAAAAGGAGCAGACCGCACCAGAATAACCACCAACCATCCACTTGTGCATTATTACATAGTGCCGACTCCTCTTCATGCGGTTCTAAAGCTCTGCTTTCCTGACAAGGAAAGATCTCTTACAGGTTTTGCTAAAGTATATTTCATTTAAACACCCTATCAGCAATAAATTCTCACATTGCAAGCCTTATGGACACCCAATACAGGATAAAAAGCACACTCAGAAGCAGCGTCCCATTATAATGACATTTTCCTTTAGTGTAACTTTAAAACCGCTCCACCTTGAATGGTTGAATTGTATGCTGTCATAGAAATTTATAAGTATCTGTTGTCTCTTTGCCAAAAATTGCTGTAAACATATTATAATTCTGACGTGTCACAAAAGTGTGTTTCTATCACTTATCCCAGAGCAAAACTATGACAATGGAGCAAAAAAACAAAGGGGAATCAAAGTCATACACATTGTGTACTTTCACAACAGACATCATTTTGTGCAGGCCACTTCCTGCTGGCACCACTGTCCATGACAAATACCACAGATCAGTAATAAAAGACAAATTAAGTCCCGCCATTCACACTACACCTGTCAATAAATCAAGAGTGGTCTCTGAAATTCTCCAAAACTTTTTAAAGGATTTTCTCGATAACACACCATGTTTGCAAAATTTTGCTCGATTTGATTTTTTTGTTTCCAAGACTGAAAGAAAGCTTTGTGGTCTCCAGTTAACAGCATGCTAAATAAAAGCATGATCCATTTCAAAGCATTCTGGCGCGGTGGACTAAAATTTTTTCCAATATAATTATTACTCAACTCCACCTAACAGCACGATCATTCCTGCACAAGTGTCAGAAACAGATCAACCATAAAATAACTCATTTCACTTGGAACTGATGGAAGCGAAGCAAACACCACATGCCCTCCTTTATTAGTTGAAATTGCTGCCTTGCTAGAGAGGAGAAGACAAGGTGTGAGACAGTTACGCTTTGAGGAAAGTCACCGACTTGCCATGGGTGGCAGACAGACAGTGTGAGAGGGCTGTGCCGTAATTAGGAGAGACGTCATTATTGTTGGTAAAAAAACTTCACATCTTGAGGTGAGCTCAACTCAATGACACAATCCACCGGCGGAGTTCAGATGCTAAGTAATATCAATGGTACTAATCAATTAAATTTGACAGAATACTTACCCCAGATTACTCCCCTTCAAAACATGCTTAATAACATGTCCGCAAAAGGCGCGCTTTTCTTGTCACCCGAAGTGCATGCTTTTAGCCAGAGACCACGGTACTACAACAATTTTGATAACTATATTTGTGAGTGGTACAGCACAGGAGAAATTTATTGTGTGACGCAACTCGTAGATACGATTGGAGCTTGGCCAACGCAAAAATCTGAGATCAGGTACTTGGAGCTTGGTAATCCTACAAAAGACTCTCTGAGTCAAGTTGCTGGGAACGATTTGGCACACCCAAAACCATTCATAAAAAATACTAGTACAATGCAGATGTACATGATAAGCTATTTAAAGCAGTGGAAACACTCAAACAACTATAAGTCTCACTATCACCATTTCATTAACAAAACAATAAACAATAGCCATGCACTCTGATAATGCATATCATGAACAGAACTGTGTAGCATTCATCAAGCCATATTCACTCTTCGTCCAACAAACAACACCTGGGTACCTTGGTGGTTCTCACACACCTGAAACCATAGACTTGTAGACTACTCCTAGACCATGCACTGTCATGGCCGAAATTCTTTGCTCGCTATAAAGACACTGCGAAGTGTGCACACCATAGGCTATGGGATTACAACCAAATGAAAGGCGAACACCATTTTCACTATAGCTGAGTGCATACTGTACTTTCCATCTTTCACCCTTCATGTGGCTTAGACCAAGTCCAATTGTGCATTCCATAGAGAACCAGAAACACGCCAGAGTACACGGTCTAGGATATTACAATACAAGTCTATGGCTGACAATCACACTCCCATTCTCCCTTTTCAAATAAAAACAAGATCATGTTCCGAGAAACATACATACAGTGCTAGTCTAGTGGGAAAGCAAGCGGTCGAGCGCTTAGAGCCTTGGTAGACTTCACTTTGTGAATGGCTGTTTGGAGGTCTGCCATGGTCATGCGACGAAGCTCCTCTGCATCACCATTACCAGTGGGCTCCAATTCCCTGAAATGAAATCAGATATGGCTAGCATCTGAGTAGCTGCAACATTGCAAGGGGTGTACAAAAAGTATTTACCCTGACTATGAAAGAAGCCAGCTGAAAAGTTGAAATTTGACCCCCACATTGCAACTTCTTTGCAGGGTCGACTCGAAAATTATTGACACATTTTTGCATTTTTGCCATCTTCGACCTTCAAAAGTCAATTAGCATAATATGACGTCAAATGGGATGCACACCATTCCTCCACTAAAGATCGCGCCTCTTCATCACTATGGAAATAATGTCCTTTGAGAATTTTTTTCAGATTTGAGAAAATAAAAAAGTCAGAGGGTGTTAAGTCAGGTAAACATGGTGAGTGAGGGAAAATTTAATTGCCAAACTGCTCTGCTGTCTGAGTTGCCTGCACTACTGTGTAAGCTGGAGCATTGTCGTGCAGAAAGAAGAATTTTGTTCCCAACTTCCCTCATCTTTTCTTGGCCAAGGTAGATCACAGGTAAATTTTTTTAACCCTTTCACACTTAGCAGGCTTGGCCAGCTGTGGCCCCCCATCCTTAAGACAAGAGCAATAACTCCACGAAAATTGAAGGGGTACCTTACTAAAAAAATTGTATAAAAATCACAAACAAAACCAATAATGATGAAAATAGTATTTTCTGAAAGGAAAATGAATGAGCTAAATTACTAGTACAAAATTATAAGTGGAATAGAAGAGTATGAAATGATATGAGAGGTCTTTCTGAGATGCGTGTCTTGGATTCCGAGTCTAGATCTAGATCTAGATCTCGTATACATTTCTTCAACTCACGAAGTTTCTGCCACTGACAAAGAGGTAATCCACACAAAAGAAATACAACACATTCACAGAGATTGAAGCCTCTGGTGGAAACTTGAAAGCACCTAAAAGACTTTTCTTTGGGTGTTTTTATTTTGTTTCTGCCGTACTCATATTGGGCAGCTTTGCGCCCATGCATCCTAGAGACATGATGGCGTGTTTACAACTAAAATCTCCTCCGACTTTTGTCCCCGCTCAAAAAGTGACTCTTTGTGCTAGCGAAACAAGAAAAACACCATAGTAAACCAGAACTCTTCCTCTATAAAGAAAGCTAAGAGAAACTTCTGATGATAGTTAAAGTAGAAGCCTCCCGCGGCAATGAAACAAACACCGCCGTGGCGGGCGCATTCAGGCGCTATAGGGATGAGCGGGGGTCACCGGCGCGGGCGCATACGGGCGCTGTAAGTGCGAAAGGTCATTTTCTAAATATTATTATAGTCTATCATGATGAAAACCTTGCTGTCCCGAAAATCAGGAAATCAAAACCGTTCTACTTGAAGGTTTCACCTCTGCCTTCTTTGACAAAGGGGACGAAGGAGTTTTCCACTACATCAAAGAGGATTCTGTTCGGGATCAAAATGATGACCCATATCCTCAAGTTTCATCTACAGTTACAACTTTATTTTAAGAACTGAAACTTCTGATGCTAATTTAATAAGTTCTTTGCAAAAGTCAGCTCTTTTCTGCTTTTGATCTGATGTCAAAAGTCAATGAAACCACTTTCCGATACCTTAGAAAAGTGAAGATGTTTGCGAAGGGTCCTTTCTATAGAGCCTACGCTCAAATTTGTTACGTCTGCAAACTGCATACCAGCTGCTCATCAATTTTCAAGTACCAGTTTCTTTACTTTAACCACATTTTTCTCCATAACAAAAATCATTTCTTGCACTTCTCAAGGCCTATCAAGGATGGACAGATAGCCTGATTTTAACTTCCTCGTCCAACATTTTACAATTTCATATGAAGGATATTTAATAAAGTAAACACTAAACATCTCATAAAAAATTGTCACTGGTAATTTTCCTTGGAACTAAAAAATTTGATTACAGGGCAATGTTCAAAAGATTATATTGATAGCATTGTCTCCACTGAAAATGGCCCTATCTTTTGAAACTACCTTGACTTAAAGTGCTCTTAAGCTCAAACTGGTCTTCGAAATCAACCCTATCCGTACGTCGTGCTTTTACTATCGTATCCATACGACGTGGGAACACTGTGCCATCACTTTCGAAAGAGGAAATTTACTCGTTAATCAGAACCGTACGCTTTGCATAGCAGTCTCAAAAGGATTTTTTGAGAAATACTGAAAGTTTCAGAGATCTTCGTACTAGAAGTATTCTAAAATGTGAAGAATACAACCCCGTGGGGTACAAAATGATCCTAGGGAGTACGGAGAGGATTTTAAAAAAATTCTACGTTCAATGTTCCAGAAAGATAGACATCACACTCTGCAAGTTCTATTGCTCTATGACAATTCCTTAACAGCCAGGGTTAAGTCTTATTGAATGCCGGGGCATTAATTTCCAGCTGGTCATAAAAGTGCAATGAAGCAGGGTGCTAGTTATTTATAGCAAATAACAGACGAACAGGAAAGAAGGAAGATCAACCAGAGCCAGGAACAGATTTAGAAAAATAGTGAATGAGAGAAAAAGATGTTGAAAGAGGCAGACCACCAGAAAATGCCCATCACTCACAGGCATTTATATATATATCAGTGAGCTGAGGTAGGAAAAAAGTATGCAACGCGACAAGACATTCAGGTCCACTCAGGCTCAAGGTCTGTTATAAAATCTTTCCTTTCAATCACACGTATGCACTTGAGCTTCTGTAGAAACAAAAACACAGGCTGACATTACAAAGAGACATTGTGGACACTTGCCTGGAATGTGCCTGGACGTACTCATGTACCACAGCTACAGCTGCTGACCGACATGCTTCTCTTAGGTCACTGCCGGACAATCCTTCGCCCAGCTGACTCAGCTGGCTGTAGTTCAGCTCCTCAGTCTGTACATATATATTATATTGTCAAAAATTGAGTAAAACAAGCTCACAGTTGAAAAATAAATACATAAATTCTTTTTTGTAGTTTGTGTGTGGGCGAAAGAGAGAATAAAGACATAGGGTGATGGTCATGAAGTGCTGGAACAAAGCCAAGAGGAGAAATGAAAACAATACTCAATACATTAATAATAAAAAGGTTCATGTATAAAACGATAGTTACAAAGAGATGAACAAATAAGACTGAGTAACGAAACCAGAAAACAGACAATCTTTCTCTATAACATCCAATCAGGTAGATCAGCTTGTTTTAGTTTTAGTTTTAGTAGAGGTTTTACAGCGCTCGCAATTGCATAAGGTCATATAAGCGCCAGAAGATTAGAGGTGTTACAAGAGAGTAACAAACATAAAAAAGAAGAAGGAGAGATAAGGACGATAGATGTTTGATAGGAAAGAAGAAGCAAACCACACCAGAGCAACCGCCAACCACCCACAGATCAGCTTGTTTGATATAATTGTAAAAATCAGAACGCAAAACTGTAACAAGAGATTTCCAGAAGTAGCCTACCAATTTAACACCTACAGGACCAGCCTTACACTTGACTTTCAGTTCCCCACGGCCGGAGCTGCCGCCCCCTCTCTGACTTTGCAAGATAAAAGTTACTCTAATATGAATTATTCTGCCCCTGGTAATTTTAGACTTGACTCCACCAAACTGTTAAGAACATGTTTCCCTATGTCATAACACATTTTCATTGAAAAAAACATTTTTGCTTAAGTCGTTTCCGTGTAATCAATTATGTTATAGCAAGCTTTAGTCTAAACTGTTCCGAAAAGGGATAAAACAATAGATCTTGATCTTTTTATAGAGTAAATTGCCCTTTAACATTTACAGTACCAAAGACTTATATAGTGAAAAACCCTCAAAAACTGCAACAGTTTACAACTCTTAAGCCATGGTAGAATCTTTTTAAAATTTAAAAAACCTTCGCAGGCCAAAAAAACACGCTTTAAAGTCCATACCATCTTTGCCAATACAAATTTCGTCGATCACTTTAAGTTCAGTGAAAAACCTTATTCAACTCATTCTATCGCTTTCCATATTCAATTGCCAAAAATTGGAAGCAAAAGATCAAAACGGAATTAATCGACGGGTTAAAGAAAACAAATATGTTTGGGGAACATCGAATGGCCTCTGTTTAGAACTAGGTCATTTTGCTCATGAGTATTTTCGTCTACAGTCCAGAGGAGGCAGTCAGGCTTTGCAAGTATTCCCGTGATTCCCTTAGGTGTTAAACATTGCTGAAATTTCAAAGTATTACCCCCCCCCCTTCCCCCCCAAAAAATAAATGAACAAATAATAAAGGAGTAGGAATGAAGTAAAACCTATTAGGAAAGATTCAAACAAAACCACTAGTGAGAGATGGTACCAAAAAAAAAAAGACTTCCAAACAAGTCACAGAACTGAACTGAAGAGAAAAGCAAGAACATTTCTGGAAAAACATAACTAACTGCATTTTCTTTTCGTACCAACATACAATCATTGGATACACTGGGGAAAGAAAGAAGATTTTAATGGAGGCACATGGGAAAGTAAAGATTTTAAAAGGAAAAGAGGAGAACTTCGATGTCATCTAATATAATATATTCCTATTTGTACTCACATCTTCCTGCTGCAGAATCAACTGTAAGATGGACTCACGCTGCGAACTATCCTGTAAAAAGGAGTGGTGAGTGTTGATCGGTTAATTTTTTCTTCATTCATCAATTTTAAGGGAACTTATTCGTGGAGCCTGAAGTGACTGGATGGTACACAATCAATTGAGAAGAGTTTAATGACCTTGAACCTAAAGTGATGAGATGAACACCGTACAGCCTGGTACTCTGCGAATGAATAAGTATGTGTAGAAGACCTGTGTCTGTACAGAAGTGAGACTGTTCATCAACAATTACAGCTAACATACCACAACATTGTTATACTATACAGTACAGTATGAAAACAAATACAATCAAATATGGAGATTTGAGTATTTTGGAAATTTCATATCACAAAAAAGAAAATTTTTCCCCATTCAAGCTTCATCAAAAACATGAAAAATAAGAGCTTACATTCTACAAAGTGAGAAAAATAAAATTCAGTTTCTTTTTAACTGAGAAGATACTCATAAATATTTTTTTAAACGTCAAGGAGCAAATCAACATTTTTTTTCTGTTTGATTAAAGAGAATCTAGCTTAGTTTTAGTGTAGTAGAGGTTTTGCAGCGCTCGCAACTGCATATGGTCATATGAGCGTCAAGGGGTGGATGTCACCAGAGAAGTCTTTAGAGGGAATCAAGCTTTCTCTGCTCACCTCTCTAGCTTCAACAGCACAAAGTCAGCTTCAACTATTAAGGCACCCCGGAAATAGCGGGTCACAAAAGTGTGACAAACATACAAAAAAGTAGAGGAAAGAATGACGATAGTAAGGATAAGGAAAGAAAAAGCAGCAGTTCCCTGTTGCAGTTCAGGCACAGTTATGAGCATGACATTGTTGAATCAGCCCATTTACAATTCTACTGTGCATAAGAACATGTTAATGTACCCCCTTTGGAAATGGCCTAAAGACACTTCCGTCAGTAGCACCGCCCTAGGGAGTAGTAAAGAGAAGCATCTCGACCCAACAATGGTGAGTTTGTATAGGGACAAAGCAAGTTAGACACGCAAAAACAACAGAGGGAAAGAAAAGAAAAAGGATCTACCAGAGTTCCTCCAACCACCCAAATTAAGATGTCTGAAGAAACCTAGTCACAGTTAAGAGCAAACAGATTCCACAAGCATAGCAATATTCAGAAACAGCAAATGACAGAGATTGTTTTAGTATGAGTTTTACGGCACTTGCAACACAATAAGCAGGGGTAGGCCACGCGAAACATGGAGGAAATGTGTGGAAAGGGACATGAGAGAGATGAAGCTCACTTGAAATGAGCTTGGAAGGCTGGCCCAGGACAGAGATAAATGGAACGAGCTTGTATGTGGCCTATACCCTGCCAGGGGTAAAAGGTATTGATGATGATGATGATGATGATGATGATGATGATGATGATGAACACAATAAGGTCATATAAGTGCCGAAGATTACAGGTGTTTCAAGAGAGTAATAAACACAAAAAAGGAGGAGTGATTAGGACAATAGATGTTTGATAGGAAAGAAGGAGCATTCCACACCACACCACCCGCCAACCACCCACAATGACAGAGAGAAAGGCAACAGTGTGAAAGACTTGTCAGAAGAGTAGTAAGAAAAACAAACAATGACTAAGTCTTGAACAATGTTCTACAAACAATCTTGAGAATCTCTGATAAGTTGTCTCAGAGGTACTAATAACTTTATACTGTCTTTTACAAAGTCCTTCCTTATACTTAGAGCATGGTCACTTTTCTAAAATACATGTTAAGTCAAGAATTTTAAAAGGTTAACAAAAACCTGGTGTCTTGAAGAAGAGCAACTTACTGGCATCCCCACGTAAAACTGGCTGGGCATACGTCTCAGAATAGCAGCATCCACATCCTGAGGTCTGTTGGTGGCACCCATGATCATGACCCTCAGGTTCGGGTCTGTCGTCAAGCCGTCCCAAAGGCTCATGAACTGTGTCTTCATCATAGCTGTGGCTTCATGGTCCGTGGATGAACGTGAACGCAAGAATGAATCTGAAAAAGGACAGATTACATGGAAGAAATAAAAATAAACAAACCTTGCAGCAAACACTTGTAGGACAGCTGTATTTAAAAACAGCAATTCCTCTTTGTGTTCATTAAGCCCCAAAAAAATAAACTTGGAGGGTTGTTATTTATGAAAAGCCCTATAATCCGTCAATGAATTATATAACAAACAGCGTATTTCTAACATCTCTTTTCTTGTCTTGATTGGTTGTAAATTATTGCACTTGTTTTATGCCTCCCCTCAACACAATTTAGATAACTAACAAAGTGGGTCAGATTAACTCTGCCTGTAAGGGCAGCGCAGTCTGATAAGGATACAGCATCCCACCAGAAAAAACAAAGATACTTGATAAAATAGACTTCAAAGATTGGGAACTGAAGAAAGTCTTTCGCATACAACAATTATGAAGAGCTTAATTGGTACTTCAAAGGCACCAGTTTTCTTACTGGGAGATTGTTACGGAATAACAGACACAGAATGTGCATAGATAACAATGAATATTACTCCCATGTAAGCTGCACAAATATAGCTCCTATTTGGTTACTGAGAATTATTGCATGTTTTTGAAATTCTGACCAGCACTTCCTAACTATAAGAAGTCTGAATACTGGAGATCCCAGAAAAGGAGATCACTAGTTTATTAACTTCCACCAACCCCCTCCCACCCCCCCTAAAAAAAAAAAATGGCTTATACATTGTATACATGTTACCATCAAATTTTTACAAAGATTAAAGAAATAGAGCTGAATCGGGGAAGAGTTGCAAAGAGTACATACCAATTTCATCAATGAAAATGATGGTTGGCTGCAGCTTGATAGCCTGTTGAAATAAAAAGATCAGTGATGAAATGAAAACAATTTTGTGTGATCTGCATAGTTTACGAACCATATCAAATAGTTCCTACTTAACTCACTTCAGACGGGTCACACAACAGTTGCGTGACCCCCGCCGCGACGCTCGCGACGGGTCTCACAAGCCCTGCATGACCAACTTTGGAATTTTTTTTTCGCTCTACAAATCACGCACGGATCGCGAGACCCGCCTCGTACCCTTGTTTGGCCAAGCCTGAGCTACTTAGACTTCGTTTCGTATCTCTGGGGCCGGTAGTTTTTAAGTTATTGAAGGTGAAGGACAGTGACCCCAACTGGAGTTGAACAGACCGGAACTCGCGCTATGTTTTTTTCTATACAGCTGATAGTAATCCGACAGTCGCGTCGTAGTAACGGTCGAAGAAGTCGCATGAACAAGAATCACATAATTTCGCCGTTTTCTATACTTCTGTGCGTTTTATTAGTTCTAGTGTCTCAGAATATGATGTGTCTAATAGTTAGGATCCTGGATATGTACCCGAACACGGCCCGAGTCGTAGTTCTAGGGCTAGATCTAGCACTAGTACCGGTGTTGTTTTTCGCGCAACGAAATCACAACGTCGTGCCGTACATCTGTCTCATGCAATTCAGTGTATGGGTCTGAATCAATGCACAGACCAGCTTTTATATTTTCACCAAACACTCGCACATGTATACAAATCAAACCAGAACACTTTGAACTTTTATTTTTGTTGTTGCAGTGAATTTCATTCTACTTGTCACGTCTCTGGAAATTTTTCGAAAAATCAAATTCATGCCAATTTTTAAAAAATCATACAAATTAAAGTATTAGACTCAGACAACTTTAGTTTTTTGTATTAGATTAAGCTTGAATGTTACTTTACTGTGTCAAAATATGATTACAATAGGGTAATTCTGAGAGTTGTGGTGATTTATTGAAATACCCCCAAAAACGCCAGTCTTCAACGCTTGTGACTGGTGAAAGGGCCCAGTCGCAAGTGAGTTAATGCACATGATACATATGTTTCAAAACTAAAAACATGTGAAAGCAAACTGTCAGTTTCCTCAGACTGAGGACTTGTGAATTTTATTCCATCTTATCTTTATCTTACCAGAGAGAAGACAGCCTCAGCACGTTTCTGTGACTCTCCATACCATTTATCCACCAGGGTAGACACTTGCAGGTTGATGAAGCGAGCACCTGAAACATAAAGCTTAGTAAGAAAGAGCACATAAATAAATCAAACGACGAAGTCCATATGAAGTCATGAAAGAATTTTAAAAAATAATGTGGATAACAAAATTTCTGGGGTGAATCATTATTGTGTGCGTGTGTATGAGTGTGTGTGTGTGTGTGTGTGTGTGTGTGTGTGTGTGTGTGTGTGTGTGTGTTAGTCTGTGTGAGCCAGAGAAAAGACACAAAAGCACAAATAAACATCTGACTTTTTTAGTTTCTTTATAGCATTTTTATGTACAAAGACCATTTCTGGTCAAGCTGCTCATAAAGCTTTTCTGATTTTCAGATATTTCAAATACTCTTTGGATATTGATCATTTATGTGATGCAGGTGTTAAGAAAATAGATTTGGAAAAAAAAAAATATTACAGTGGTATTGTATGTTGCTAACCAGGTTTTCAAAGTCACAGGTGTACATTACGTTCAGAAGCTTGCACCTGACATATTCCATGCTCAGTAAAGACTGATAATCTTTAATTTCAAATTTGAACCAAAAAAAAACATTCATAAAAAAAAAAAATCGTTTTGGTCAATCTCCCTGTTCAAGCTTCAGTGACTTTGGACCCTTTCCTACATTCCACATCTGATACATCTTCATATGCAAAAACATATCTTCAAGGTCCCTAAAAACATCCTATTTCCTTGTTCAGCAGTCACCATCTGAGTCAATCAATGATATTCGATTTGTCCCATATTCTGTTGTGCAAGTTTGTACTCAACTGAACAATACCCAACATTCATTTGTAGTCTCTCAAGCCTAAATAAACTTCAGGACAGCCTACTCACAACCACTGCCAACAGCGAGCACTTTCAGAACAAACCATAGACAATAAGGAAGACAAATAGAAATTTCAATAACACCAATCACCCAAGTCTCTTTAAAGTTGGATGAGAACAGAATGAGGGAATGATAAAACCATAAACACACACACACACACACACACACACGAACGCGCACACACACACACACATACAAACTTCACAAAAGAAAGTATTTATTAACTCTCACCTGCCGCTTTGGCTGTAGCCTTGGCGATCATTGTCTTCCCGCAGCCCGGAGGCCCGTGAAGGAGGATACCTGAAGAGAAAGATACTTCTTGCTAGGGAAGAATCTCATCAAAAACGCTTCTATTCCAAAACAACAGATTGGCTCTCTTGACAATTTGTAAAAACTAGACATCAGCCTCTGAAAAGAAGTCTGTGCCTAAATGACTTACCCTAAGTAAATTTGAATGGTCTCATTTACTACAAGAGTTAATATTGTTTAAACATCTATGATTCTCCAAAAGAGAGGGGGGAATGCCCTGTGTATAACCTTTTCAATTGAAAAAATAAAACCCAAAAAACAAGAAGACTGTAAAACAAAATTCAAGGGCACATTTCAATTTGTAGCAAATTCTATTAGAATTTTGACAGGTCTCTGCATATATCAACAAAAGGTCTGTTCAGACCTGTACTCTCACAAAATCAAACCATCTATGGAGTATTTTGTTAAATCAATGACAAGTCAGTGGGAACTGAAATTTACAACACATATTATGTAAAACTAATCACCTTTAAAATAACAAGTGAAGAAGGGTCCCAGTCTTGGCTCCACTCGCCTAAAAGTTTGAGCGCTTAGCAAGAAAACCTCTTTCTACCCTCTGGGTGTTAGAAGTAAAATTTGTGGTGTCAGTAACCTTTGAATACTTTCACTATTGGTCATAAAATCCTTGAAAACAGTTTGAAATTACTCCCAAACGTCAAATCACCACATAATCTGCCTTACCTTTAGGGGGCTGCAAAAGACTAGAGTTGCGAAACAGGTCAGCTCGCTGAAAGGGCAAGATAACAGTCTCTTGGATTTCCTGGATGATGTTTTCCAAGCCTCCAATCTTGCCCCATGTCACCTCCATCGAATGAGGATCCAGCAAATTGGCAGCTACACAGAGCTCATAGTCCGACAGCTGAGGGCAGAGATGAACAGAACTCTTTGCATTCCTCACAGACCATTAATTAACAGCTCAACTAAAATAAAATGTCATTTTGAAGTGGTATCACTTGGTTTCCCTCGAAACCATCCACTTAAGAGAGAAAATATTCTATATAAAGGAAAAGTAAAATTTGACATCACTCAGATTAAAATTTTTTATCGTCTGTGTAGTTATCTAATTCTCAACTTACGGTGCCTCAGCGGTCAGCCAAACAAGACAAAAAGAAATAAAAGTTTACAGCAGAGCAAGCAGACCATGATTCAAACAAGGTGTCATACCCTGAAATACTCTTGTCAATAAAAGGTAAGACAGTAAAATCAAAATCTCAGGTAAAAAACTTGTGCCCAAAAACTGACATTAACCTTTCACCACTTTCATTCAAAGCACGCCACTTCATAATATCATGGCTTCAAGCATTAACAACATGCACACATAACACAACAAATAAAGATTATCAATCCTGTAACAGACCTTGATATGTCACACCACACAGAAGACACTAAGGTGCCCTTTTACACTGTCAGCTTCTTCTACCTCTTTCTATTATAAACTCAGAACTTAACTTTATAGTAATAGCCAAAATACTTAGGCGGGGGGCGGACTTCAGAAAGGAAATTTATGGAAAAAAAGCAAAGAAAGCTGAAAATAAAGTGTGGAAAAAGAATTTCAAATCACGTAATTTTAGCTCAGAGGGCAAATGAAGACCAAAAAAATAAAAATAAAGGAGACATGTACATGCGGTAGAGGTAGAAGAGATATCTACTTCACGACATGAAGGAACTTTACTCATGGGTTCTTACCTTCCCAACATTCTGGACCCCAAGCTTAGAGAGCATGCGCTGGGCCTGGGGGAGAGAGGAAAACAAGGTAAGAATCAGTTCTCGGAGTGAGGACAAATTATCACACCACTGGAATTATGAAAGTGATCAAAGAAAAGTCCTCTCGTGAGAAAGTTGTTTGAAAGCTGTACGGAAGTCCTAAGCCTGCGACCACCTCAAGTAGAGACCTCACAATTAAATGGTTTGGTTTCTTCCATTTTGGTCAGTCCTGCTTATGATGGATAATGCGTGGCCATCTTACACAGGTCTGACTGTTTACAAATGATGGATGTTGGGTGAAAAGGATTGTGAATGATGATGACGGGAGAACAGAATGCTGTTGATAAGATGTTCAGTGGAACTCGTGCTGTGCTTACTGATATGGCCTTACTTTGGAAATTAAAGTTTCACCCAGTGTTCGTTATAGCAAACAGGAGGTTTTGTGTAGATAATTACAGTTACAGGCACTGAGCAAGTAATGTATAAAGAGAAATCACAAGTAGTGCCTGAAATGCCTGCATATTATGAGCTGTGTAAAAAAAAAAAACCCGATTCGTTCAAATGCACACGCCTGTGTCATCTCAATTGTTTACAAAAAAGTTGTGTTGCTGTGTAGAGCCAGCATACGGCAACTTTTGATTCCATAGACCAGCGCACAATTCATTATGTAGATTTATGCCAAGGCTAGCTTATCTTTGTAATAGTGATCAGTAGCCGAGGGGAAAAAAAAGACTGACGCGTTTGTATCTGCGACGTTCGATGTTCAACGCCCGGACCACTAGTGCTCCCCCCCCCATCCCCGACACGGACACACAGTCACACGTGTGCAGGCCGCCCATCCGACCCCGACGCATGCCAGAGTAGACATGTGCGTGTGTCAACAACGCATGAGTTGGTATGAAAAAAGGCCGCTGATTGGTCGCATGCAATCTGCTAAGTGAATAATGGTTCACGATGCAGGTGCAATGGATGGTTTCCGGGAATAGATAAAGTTTGTTCTGGGAGAAAAAATGAGCAAAGCCACATCTGTGGGGGCTGTTCACTGGAAGCAACCTCGTTGAATCCGAGCTCGCTGATTTAAGTGCTCGTTGAATCCGGGTTATTTTTATTGAAAAAAAACTGGCCAGTCTATCTCGTCTCGTTGAATCTGAGTTCTCATTGAATCCAAGTTCCACTCAGCCACTGTATTGAAAACCCATAACATCACTGCATTTATGAATGGAATAAGCTGAAAATTAGTGAGTTTAAGTTTTTTGGGGTAACAAAATAGAAAATGGAAGAATTAAAGTTGTAATCTTAATACCTTGTTAATTATATGCAAATAAAAAATTAAATAGGCATAATCATTTTTAAAAAGCCATTATATCGCTTAATAATGTTCATTCTGTTACATGTGGACGCATGCAAATCTTTGTTTGCAAAGAGACGTATTAGAAATGTGACAAATAAGGTTTTAAATGTTTGATTATGCACTCATTTGAATATCTGGTCAAAATCAGTCGTAATAAAGACGCAATGTGCTATTTGGTGCAAAGAGGCTCGAAAGCCTATAAAGTGACTTTCCATTATTTTTTGTGTTTTTTGGATCTATTGAAAGTTTAATGTCTTCTGTTTCATTTAAGATCAAAATAAACAACTATAATCGACTATAAATATTTTATTTTGGAGGTATGTGTGTGGTTTGTTGTGAGCTTGGGTGACAAGATAAAGGAATTTGGACCTCAAACCCTTTCGAACATTTGACCTGCTAGGGTGTAGCTGTGAGATTATTTATAGAACCATTACCTCATGGCCACATTGCTTCAATTTCCTTCATTCGACCCTTTTTTTAGATTAAGACCCCTTTTCGAACATGAATGGTCTGAAATATATAATCAGCTTAGCATCACTATGAACGCTTGAGGGCTCTTAAAAACGGTAACTCCTATTCCACTTCAAGCTTGTTTACGTAAACAGCTAACTGTAGTGTAAGCTAGCTCTGTTATGGGCTGTTGATCTTTCAGTTTTACACTTTGATTGACTTTAAAAGTTCGTTTTTATTGTGTTTTAGAGTGGCTTTTTTAAAGGTTGATCTTCCTCTAGATTTCCCAAGGTGGACTCCTTACCATGAGGCCACCGAGGCGGTCTCTGTGCATGTGTGTGTGTATGTTTGTGTATGTATGTGTGTGCATGTGTGTGTGTACTCGCGTGTTTATAGTGATATTGCAAACGTATAATTAGGAAGCGTAAACATGACGCGTAAACCGACCCGCGAATTTCCAAGCACGTGGTTTCGGTGAAATCGAGGTAAGTCAGATCGCTTTTTCTTTGCTCTTTCACTATAACACACCTTGAAAAAATTAAGCTTTTTTCCCCGTTACAATAGTGCAATTTCTTTGGGAGGGGGGGGGGGGGGTGTTTCGAGTATTTGGAGCTAGAGAATCGTTGTGGAAAGCAAAGCCCCTCGAAGACAGAATGCGAGGTCTGCCGGTTCAAAAACTGACACCCAGGCATTCGCATGCTTTGAAGAAAGAGTGATGATTAAATACCCCCTTTTCATTAACAAACAACTTCTTTAGAGTTTTGAACAGGGCTTCCCGTGGTATATTTTTGGCCTTTGGCATTTAAATAGAAAGCCTTTGAAAAAGCGTACAAATTTCATCTTTAACACGAATTATGTAAAAAACGACCCAAAAAAATGTACCAATAAAAAAAACAGTTCTTTTTCTATTAGAATGAAGTCATCGGCTTGGAATTATTTTGCATCAATCCTCTCACGAAACTCCGGGGAGCACTCAGTACACTACAGTTAGAGCCGACTCGCTCGCCGTGGGAGACTGGTGCGGTGCCGGCCGGAACAACTCTCAGGTTTTTTTTTAATTGACAGATCATCGTGTTTGAGGCAATAAAATACTGATTTGTAATGATCTCATAGTCAATAAAAAAAATTAGGCTCCATTTCTATGTTATAGTGATTGTACTCTGTTAAAGTGAAGATGTTTGGTGCACTTGGTACTCTTTTATTATCTGTCAAACATGGGGTTGCAGCCAATTAGTGAATTTAGTCGATTATAATATATCAAATTAAAACAGCTGCCATTTTCTTAAAAATTGACGGAGAAGTAAAATTCACAGGAGACACATGTCTTTCATATGGAACAGATAAATTTGACATAAAGCTATTTTGAAAATTTAGTTTCTGGTACCTAGTAGGGCCTACAATGCTAACCCGTTGTTGCATTTGACGTGAAGACCATTCTCGTTCAAATTTTGTTTTGGCAATAAGCTTTTATTCTGTTAATGAATAGTTTTCGACTTCTGTGTGTTACCTTGTTGTGGCATAGCCAAGATAACTGCCAAATTTCAAGTCTCTATCTCAATTCTAAGACCCCCGTTGCTATGGAAACATGTTGCTCAACCTCGGAGCCCGTTTTCTCCTTTTCCTGTTTCCGCACCTTGCATACTTAAAAGTTCCATATTTTCGTCAAATATTGTCGTATTTACTTCATTTTTTCCCAAAATTGTATTGAAATGGTGATAGTTTTTGAAAATTAAGTTAACTAAATTTTGAAATTTCCCTCCTATGACTGATTTTTACCAGGAGGATCACATATAGAGGTGGATAATTAATTAACCAGATTGTAACTAAACAGCTCAGAGA